CTTCGGGAGGTTGGATAATTATTTTCTTAAATTTTAAGGGTGTCCCACTACCACTTAAACATTTTTTTTTTACTTATACGCAAACTACTATCGAAGGTTGAATAACCGTATTTAAAAATTTTAGGGATGTCCCAAGACATGTATCCGCGGGACTATGTATGATTTAGTTGGGGCTCGACCCCACGTTTGATTAATGAATAAGAGGTAGTGCCTAGTGGTACTCTGAAATCATTTTTCACCATCTAAATCATATTGATCAACCCATTCGATGCATACCCAAACCGAGCCTAGTCAAATGGGTTTAATACTATTCTTATAATCTGATCTTACTCAAATTGTGTTTAAGTATTGGGGATCTAAAACGGATTACTACATTTGGAAGTTGTGATTGTTTTGTGAGATTGTTACTATACTTGTATTATTTTAGAATGCATCATTTTTTTATATTTTTTTCACACAAAAGACATGCATCGTATCTGTAATTTGACATAAACTATCACTCAAAATAAAATATTGTTATATCTCAGCATTTAGCTAAGACTTTTGAGTTTGGGATAGTTTTCTCTTAGCTTTTAGCCGATGAGACATATACAATCACACATACGAAACGTTGAATTTTACAGTGCATCAAATTTATCAATACATGCATAATATGAGGGGGCAGATACATGGGTGTTTGGGACACCCCTAAATTTTGGGTAAATGATATCCAATCTCCGATAGTAGTTTCATATAGATAAAAAAAAATATAATTGGTAAGTCAGGATACCCCTAAAATATAAAAAACGATTATCCTACTCTCTGTAGGAGTTTGCATATGATATGTGATATTCAAACCTAGGACACTACTATTATTAAACATATTCTCTATTAGGTTGCAAGTTGCAACTCATTTATTTTAAACACTATGTAATAGTAAAAATGCTATTCCTTATCTCCAACTATTTTCAAAAGTCAACAATTAAACTAATTACGGGCTACCCTTAATTTGAATTGATTTATGGTTACACTGCAAGTGTTAAAAGATTCTTTTCAAAATTGACTTACATTAAGAACAAGGTTAGACAACGAGTCTATTTTATATTCTTTTTCAGAATATGAAAACATGTCATGACCTTTTGTTAAAATTTGTACTAATAGAATATTTTATGATTTATGAATTATTTAATTAAATTTTTGAAAGAGGACACGCTCATAAAAAAATCATGGATCCACCACTGCATAATATTATACATGTATTCACCACAATATATCTATTTAGTAATCGCAACTTTCAAACGACCCAAAAAAATAATTGGATGGATTCATACGAAACATAACATGATCAAGTGAGTGCAAGTGCTAAAGATCATGGAGAAAGGGAAAGAAGAAGGAACAAATCTGAAAGACAGGGAGAATCAAATTTTGCAAGCATAGAAGAAGAAAGCAAACATAAAAGTTCCAAATTCCCAGTTCGATCTTCGATGTCGATCTACTGCTTCTTCCCCACTTCCCACTAGTGGGTTGTTTCCAGGTTGGATGTCATTTGACACGAGAAGGCCAAAAACACAAACAAAAAGTAAAAGCAAAGCATCACCAAAACCTAGATTCAGCAAAACAATGTCACAGTCACGTGTGGTTTGTGTATGACAGTGTGAGCAAGCAGCGAACCCACTAAGGCAGCATGAGCATAGCAGCCGCCATCTTAAAGTTCCCACCACCACCGTCACCGCCGTGGCCACCACCGGCCGCCGCTGCTAATCAGAGATGGGGCTTATTTTAAACACATTTCACGTGCTGATGTTTCTTTTCTCCTTATTACTACTTCTCTTGCTCTGTTGCCTATAATTCATTCACGAGACTCTCTTTTCTTTTTCTCAACAAACTCGCCCCCACCAGGGCTCTCTCAATCAAACATTATGCAACCTTCCAAACCTCAACCATAACAATTATGAAGCCCTTAAATGAGTCCCCTCCTCAATTTGTACTGCTTCCTTAGTCTTTTCAATATTGTCCACGTTACATGACAAATTTATATTAAGACTTTTAGGCCCATGAAATATGTACTACTGTAGGTGCCCCCTTTTTTCTTGGTTGGAGATGTTGCGCGGTCCATCATTATACAAATATCCACATTTATGGGTCGTTTGATTCGTAAATTTGAAAAATAAAAATTTGGTATAACATGAGTTTTTGAAAAATTATTGATATACCATAATTTTGGATTCCTTATGGACTTGAATAGCACTAATATTGTTTGTTTCATAAACTTGACGATGAATTTGTCAATTAGATTTGTATATATACTTAATAATTAAATTAAAGATATAATAGTGTTACTATTTCATAAGAGTTTGGCTAATATGAACTAGCTGTCATTTATATTTTCTCACCTGCAACAACTCTGCATTCATACATGTATATGGTTAAGGTTCCTCTGCTGTCACGTAGCGTTTGGGCTTGTGGCATTTTCTAATTTTTTGTGTGTGGTTTACATGGGATTAATTTCAAGGTTTACCAAACTATGTTCAATGTAGTGACGAAAAATTTAGTGGTAGGGTATTTTATATCGAAATTGTGTTTTAATCGTGGTTCAATCATTTCATACGTTAAAAATCACCAACTAATAAGATATCCTCCAAACTATTTTTGGATTTCTATGGGAAAAGATCACTCTCGCACTCCTCAAACCTCATTCAAAGAGGCGACAAAGAATACTATGAAGGTTTCAATGCCTTTTGCAAGATCGTTGATCATACAGTTCATGTAGGAGCGGAGAAAGAACAAGATTAGTATCATATACTATTACGTTAAATTTCAATGGTTTATTAGTGGGATTCATGTTGACCAATCCTTTTACTGTATGACCTGTTTGGTGTTTTAATGGGGAATTTTGTGTTTTAAAGTTCAAATTCAAGATGGTAGCATCACTTTTATCATTAGATGTGGACGAGTAGCATGGTTGTTGGTTGGCAACGATCCTTCATTTAGAACCCTGGATTTGTAGCCTGGAGTTTTCTTGATTGGCTCAGTTGGAGCGACTCGGTGGGGATGGTGAATGAATGTTTTTAGAGTCGTCCTGCAGTGACATCCTGCCGTATAAAAAATTAGTGAAAATGTCCATTTGGATACTTGAGCAAATATACGTTTGCCACATTTAGTCTACTTTGATATTGTGTAGAAAATTTGTTGGATCTTATATTCAATACCGAAAAAACTTAACTTAGATAAAATTCTGCAGCTATGACTCGATTTTACGGGACGGCAAAAATCAGCTCAAAAGTGCAATCATTTTGTTTGAGGTGGGATTATTACTAGCGGGAAGGGTACAACGTACAACTCCATCTTTGGGCAGAAAGAAACAGCGGAAGGAGTGAATAAAAGCATGCAGTAGTAGGTTAGCCATCAACTCCCAAATTAACATCCCCACCACCAACTTTATATGCAGTAGTGCTTTCAAATTTCTCACATGTCATTCACCACCACCTACACCTAGTTCTTTGGGAATCGGTATTATTAAGTCCAAATTGAGTATTTCCATAATACATAATTACATAAACACGTAAAAAGTTATATGATATCATATACTTATGTTCAACCTATAATGTATTATCATTCACTTATTTATGAACACGGTGAATATTCCGAACCTATTGAGAAGATTGTGACTAACTAAATTCAGTTCACGAAGAGCCGAGAAACTCTCTTTCGGTGTCGGGCTTCTGAGTTTTGTTTTTACATTTCTATTGGCATGTGGTCACACGTTAACCTTGACCCCTAGGCCATGTTGTTGGGGAGTAACAAATAAATTGATATTTGCACAAGCATCATCAATATTGAGGTAAGATGTTGAAATGATGTTTCTGCATACTTTAGGTATTTGTTTGTAATTCTTCATCTCTATATGTTAATCTATCTATGCCGCATTAGCTAGGATCTAGAGTTATATGTGTTGTCTATATACGTATGTAAGTAAGCTGACTAAAAGAGAATTCGGAGAATTCAAGTCTTTCGTAGACTAATCTCGACTTCTATTACTCAGGAGATACGACGTAAAATTCTGGTGCTCATGATCTTTCTTTACTGTTTTAAGTTTTTTGGGGTTGGTTGATTTGGGCGGTGCCTGAGTACTAACTAGAGTCTAGACTAGTGGCTCTACATTTTGGTTTACAGTATTTTGTATTTCGCAAAATATTGTAAGTTGACGATAGTTTTGTTGAGATTGTCATTATGCATGTATTGTTTACAATGCATTATTTTTTTTGTTTTTCTAGCAGAAACAATACATGGATTGTTTCTGTGATGTGCAGAAACTATCACTCATTTTGAGTGATTGTTATATCTCAATTTTTAGTTGTGATTGTTGAGCTAGTTGAGTTGAGATTGTTTTTTCTTAGGCCATGTTTGGAGGATGTGATTTTCATTGATGTATTTAATCAATACATGAAATCATGGGATTCAGTCGTTTTTTTGTTTCAATTAGAGATTGAATACTTGTATTTACTTTTGGGGGGCCCTCATATAATCCCTCATTTTGAATGATTTACCAATCTCTACAAATATGTGAGATTGTGAACCAAGTATTGTGGCTGGCTTTTTTGTTCCATTAGTGTCCCTATAAATTTCATTTATTCCACAATTTGCCCTTGCCAGCATCTTCTTATCTCTACTCACATTCGAGGCCTGGTTTGACAATAGAAAACGAGAAAGAACAAAAAAAAACCCTGGTTTGACAATAGCCTTCCTCGTCGCCGGCCTCATCTAGGTTAACGGACCTGGAAACCTCTTCTTATCATCAACGCCTCGTCGCCGGCCTCCTTTTGTACATCCCGACATCAGACGACTTGCCGGGAATCAAAGTGCAAGGGCTGCAATCGAACAGGTATATCCGTAAAGGAGCTCGGTCGTAGTTGGGTAAAACAAACAGGTATGTACCTCAATCCTACTCAGTTCCCATTTGTGATTGTCCAATGTAATCCTTCATCTTTTCGATTTTGTAACTTGACATCCATTTGTAGGTTATGGCAAGGTGCCCCAAACAGAGGAAAAAAGCCGTCATTGCGGCAGTGTCCGCATATTTGGAGCTCTTGTTCAATTTCATCAATCTCCTTCTACGATATTATGAGGCATTAGAATCTGAACACGAGCAGGCCGTAGAACATGTTTCATCTTGGGAGACGCCAATTGCTAGACAATTAGCTAGGAATTCTTTTATGCGGTGTATTGTTTCTCATGGCGACATATCTTGCACCATGCTTGTTCGAATGAATTGTAGGACTTTTCAGAAGCTTTGGATGCTTCTTAGAGATGAGGGAGGACTTAGGTGTAGTTGGAACATTGAGATAGATGAAATGGTTGCGATCTTCCTCTACACCATAGCCCATAATGAGAAGAATCGTCAACTGCAAGCTACCTTCCGCCGTTCAGGAGAAACAATTTGTAGGGTGATCAAATTGGTCCTGCGTTCGGTTTTGAAACTTCACTCTATCCTACTTCGTAAACCCAAGCCGGTTCTCCACTCATGGAGAAGGCTAACATGAACATTGAGAGGATGGCGAATAGATTTTGCCATGAAGATCCTTTGATGATTAGGAGAGAGACCTTGTTTGAGGAACTGTCACAGTTGGAAGGTTTGTCACAAGATCAAGTTATATCAGCTGCCTTGATTCTTGTCAAGGAGGATAGAATTGCCCAGTTGTACTACCAACTTCCCACAGATGAAGAGAAGCTTGCCTTCCTCTTTCGTCTCATCAACTGATGCATATGAAGGAACTTTGTAGGAATATCTTGTAGCCAATTTACATTATGGTTAAGATATATTTTGTATGAATGGAGAACCTGATGTGTAAGGCATCACTCCATAATTGTAGCCAATCTGAAATGGCATTAGTAGAAGCCTGAAGGTAGCTTTTGTTTTTAATGATGTTGCTGGCTGGTGTTGTTGGCTGGGATGGTTTAATATGTAATTGAACTGCTCTTGTTTTAGGTGTCCTATTATTAAACTGTAGCTTATTTTTAATAATGTAACTTGTTGGTTTATTATTAGTAATATGTAATGACATTATTATCAAACTGTAATCAATTCTCAGGTTCATCAACAAAACATCCACATTCCAAACCATATAGCTTTACCTGAACGCCCTCTTCAATCCAAAAAGGGGAGGGCATTAATGTCATTGATCTCAAAAAGTGTAATTTCTTTTTTACAACAAATACACAATCTTTAACACATCCAAACAAGGGATTTGTCTATTACATACATTCAATCAATACCTCAAATCATAATACAGTAATTGAACCAATACATGAATTTAGACAATCACATCCTCCAAACATGGCCTTAGTTTTTAGCATAATGCTACATACACAATCACACACACCAAACGTTGTATTCTACAATGCATCACATTCGACAATACATGTATAATATTATATATGCATTCTCAACAATACATCTATTTAACAATCGACAACTTCTAGACGACTCCTCGGTATGTGTGAAATGAAACGGTAAAAAAAATGTCCTTGCCAGTACATGGGAGATATTTGTTTTACACTGCAATGAAAGCCGTAAGAAAAATATCTGATGCCACATAGGATGGCGTTCATTGGACATGTCAGAATTCTTTATCTTTTCTTTGCTTTGCTTTTTGGAAGGAGAAAATGATTCCATTGTATTGGCTGGCGTGACTCTTCCTCTTTTCTCTGTCACAGAGGCAGAGCACAGCATGGTTGAAAAAAGTGACGCAGGTTTACAGCCAGTACAATTATTGCTTTCTTTCTTCCTCAGGATCCGTCCCAAAACTTTTCTCTTCCCCGTTTTGGTACCCATAATTATTACATTTAGCCGTTCAAGGAAGAAGAAGTAAAGCAAAGGCGGCATTTCAATCTATGTCAAACTGTTAATTAAATACTTAAATCTAACAAAAATATGTAATGATAAACAGGGAGATACAATTTCCCTTATATATTTAGCCTTAAGAGCGTTCTTTCTTGTTGTTTGAACCTACTAGCTCGAGGTATGAACAATAATGATTGTTGGTGTGGGGTTGACTCATGATCCGTTCGTCTGATCTCGTCGGGAGGGAAGAAACCTGTGAAAAGTGCCGGGATCGCCCCCCAGATTAAGCTCCGACGATCAAGTTAGTGTATGTTTGTGGAGAGAGTTGAGAGAATAGATAGAGAGATAAAGTGTAGAGAGATAGTAGAAAGTGGAAAGTGAGGAGAGAGGAGAAGTCCCCCTCAATGGGAAGTTTCATGCCTTTAAATACTTCGTAGTGGCGTTCGTTCGGAGCACGTTACCGATTGAGCGCGCCCTTATTTAGTCCGCGCGTGGAGTATTTAGTAACACCCCCAACAATTGCCCCCCAAGCTGGTGGTGAGTCTTAACTCATCGCTAGCTTATTACTTTTTTTAAAAAATCTTCGTCGGTAATTTTGGGTGGAGCCCTATGTACCCCAGTTGCCCCCCAGCTGGTGGCGCGTTGGACTGACGCGGTGCCAGCTTCTTGCGTCTTGCCCCCCAGTTGGTGTATTTCATTAAGGCGTGTAGCCTTTACTCATTGTAGATTCTTCATGGAGCTCTCCTCGTCGGGGGTTTTTTTTTTTTTGGCCCTCAGTTTGGAGTTCTCCTCGTCGGGGTTTTTAACCCTCAGTTTGGAGTCTTCGATGCTCTTATTGAAGTCTTATTTGTGTGCTTCGTTGAGACTTATTTGTAGCTCCTCGTTGGGGTTTTTAACCATCAGTTTGGAGCTCTCCTCGTCGGGGTTTTTAACCCTCAGTTTGGAGTCTTTGATGCTCTTATTGAAGTCTTATTTGTGTGCTTCGTTGAGACTTATTTGTAGCTCCTCGTCGGGGTTTTTAACCCTCAGTTTGGAGCTCTCCTTGTCGGGTTTTTAACCCTCAGTTTGGAGTCTTCGATGCTCTTATTGAAGTCTTATTTGTGTGCTTCGTTGAGACTTATTTGTAGCTCCTCGTCGGGGTTTTTAACCCTCAGTTTGGAGCTCTCCTCGTCGGGGTTTTTAACCCTCAGTTTGGAGTCTTCGATGCTTTTATTGAAGTCTTATTTGTGTGCTTCGTTGAGATTTAAAAATTTAATAATGAAATAGGGATAGAGTACTTAGCTTTATGCTGGCGAAGCGGCGCGAAGTGTTGTTAACAGGCAGACGCTGCGCCATTGAAGCGGAAGGCTTACATGTAGCCTACTGGTAATAGCGCTTGTGAGATGGAGTGATGGCGCGGGTTCGAGCCCTTGCGGCGACGACATTTTTTTGACTCGAGTTGGTGGGTGTGCGCGGAATATCGTTAAAATGAGAGTATTGCGCCCAAGGATCACAAAGCTCGCATGTAGCCTGCTGGTGATGTTGCTTGTTTGGCTCACAAATGGCGCGAGTTCGAGTCCTCGCGACGACGTCATTTTATGAGGCGGGTACGCGTGACGCGAGTGGGCCGCGAGTGTTGAGGCGGCGGTGGGCCGCAAGCATGGGCTGTAGGGTGGCGCGGCGAAGTATTTCAAACGCAGGCGTTGCACTATTGAAGCACAAGGCTTGCTTGTAGCCTGCTGGTAAGGATGCTTGCCTGCCCGAGGAGTGGCGCGGGTTCGAGTCCTCGCGGCGACGACATTTTTTGAAGAGTGCTGATCAGTTGAATGCCCGCGCGAGTTGGGTCGCGAGTTGGACTTGCGCGCGTCGAGTGCTGGTGACGCAGGGCGGCCGCGAATTGGGCTTGCGCGCGTCGCGGACCGTGGGAAGACGCTGGGCTGGTTGGGCCGCGAGTTGGGCTTGCGCGCGTTGAGTGCCGGTGACGCGAATCGGACGTGGCGGACTGGAAGTAGTTCAAATGCAGGCATTGCACCATTGAAGCAGAAGGCTCGCTTGTAGCCTGATGGTAAGGATGCTTGCCTGTCGGATGAGTGGCTCGGGTTCGAGTCCTCGCGGCGACGACATTTTTTGAAGAGTGCTGATCAGTTGAATGCCCGCGCGAGTTGGGCCGCGAATTGGGCTTGCGTGCGTCGCGGGCTGGGGGAAGATGCTGCGCGAGTTGGGCTCGCTTGTAGCCTGCTGGTAAGGATGCTTTCCTGTCGGATGAGTGGCTCGGGTTCGAGTCCTCGCGGCGACGACATTTTTTGAAGAGTGCTGATCAGTTGAATGCCCGCGCGAGTTGGGCCGCGAATTGGGCTTGCGCGCGTCGCGGGCTGGGGGAAGATGCTGCGCGAGTTGGGCTTGCGCGCGATGCTTGTGCTGCGAGCTTGGGAGCGGACGAAGTTGTGCGCGAGGTGGGCCTTGGAGATCGTCCGCGAGTTGGACAGGCGGTGAGGTAGGCCGCGAGTTGTCCGAGAGCCCACTTTGCGCGTTGCCGTTGAGGCGAGTCAGAGTGAATAAATAGGGCGCGCTGCGCTTTTAGTAATAATAAAGCGCTTTAGTCCGCTGGTTAACTTGTACGTTTGGTGGAGAAGTGGCGCTGGTTCGAGTACTGGCGGCGATGACATTTTTTGACGCGGGAGTGGAGGAAGGTGGCTTCTTGGGAACTTCGCCTGTCTCTTCCCTCTAACAGGAAGAAGGATGGGCTGGAGGAAGGTGGCTTCTTGGGAACTTCACTTATCTCTTCCCTCTGACAGGAGAGAAGGTGACTTTGCTTTTGCTTTTTTTTTTTTTTTACTGTTGAGGTGACTGAATAGAAAGTACTGATGTTGACTGGAGAGTGGCTCTTCTTTCTTTTTCGTCAGGTCGCCGGTGCCGCCCCTATCTCCGGCGGTTGGAATCTGTGGGAGCTTTTATTTCAATCTCTCCCAGTCCCAACTGGAGTAGTGGGAGATCCTTCTCCCTCGAAGAAGAAAAAAAAAGTACATCCATGGAGGACGACCTCTCCCGGCTGGGAGCTGCTGGCTCGGAGGTGGTGCGGTGGCTCCTCTTTAGTCTTCTCTCCCCGTTTGCTGTTTCTTCTTCTTCTCTGCTTTGGCTTTTCTAGTTTTTTTTTATGAGGCTTTTGTATTCACTTCAGATCAAGAGTTCTTCCTCCTTCCGCGAACGAACGAACGAATCCAAATCAGCCCCACGGTGGGCGCCAATTGTTTGAACCTACTAGCTCGAGGTATGAACAATAATGATTGTTGGTGTGGGGTTGACTCATGATCCGTTCGTCTGATCTCGTCGGGAGAGAAGAAACCTGTGAAAAGTGCCGGGGTTGCCCCCCGGATTAAGCTCCGACGATCAAGTTAGTGTATGTTTGTGGAGAGAGTTGAGAGAATAGATAGAGAGATAAAGTGTAGAGAGATAGTAGAAAGTGGAAGTCCCCCTCAATGGGGAGTTTTATGCCTTTAAATACTTCGTAGTGGCGTTCGTCCGGAGCACGTTACCGATTGAGCGCGCCCTTATTTAGTCCGCGCGTGGAGTATTTAGTAACACCCCCAACACTTGTTTTTCTTGTCCTTAATTGGTATGACTTATGTTTTAAGAGAATCGAAAGAAGATGGTTATTCTAAATGAATTTGAAAAGGTTATTTGTTGGAATATATTTTTTATTGTTATTGAGGAATATGGTATAGATCCAATTTTAAAGAAACGATCGGAAATTTCATTCAAAAATAACTATCGTCAATAAAATCATGAAAATATATTCTTCACTCAAATGAATTAAAATTGGATCCACCATAAAATATTATTGTAAACTGTCGATGGAACTATGCGTTTGTTTTTATCTTTGTTCTAAATTTATCATTATGTTAGCCCTTGTATTGCACTCTATTTGAACAATTTAACAATGACAACTCAGATATGGATCAACATGTATTTTGACAAACTCCAATCTTCATACGGGTTATTGAAACTTGGTAGGGATGGTAGGGCAGGATCCACCACTTGTGAACTAACCATCTTACCCTTTGTTCCTTTCTTCACTAGTGAGGACTTTACTTGAAGGTTTGCTCCTTCATCAGTGGGGTAGAGCATTTCAAATGCCTGTTGGAGGTAACTTGAGCAATTGACTTAGGTGACCAAAACCCATGAAAGGTTTCTCTTCATGTAGCACGCACGTTAGGGAAGAGAGAGCTTGTGACTTCAAACTCCGGAGAGTCAATTCCAAGGTTTTAGGGTTCAACCATGCATATCAACAATCATGTGTTCTTTACCAACCCAAATTTGCTTAGTGATACCAAGAGAAACTTCACACTCATGCCCAGAACGACCATATATAATTATGCTCATGATAAATCGTAAACGAGTTGAATTTCAAAAGAAATGAAAATCTTACATTAGTTAAAGCCAGCATATCGTAACCCATAATTGATTTAAATATGTCCAAGTTCAATTCACAAGATCAAATCTTAATGAAAAAAAAAAAAAAACTAGGACCATGTAATACGCAAGGATTTATGGGAGGGGGTTATAAAATATAGCAGCTGGCAGCAGATATCTCTTTCTTAAACCAAATTATATGTGAACCTCTAATTACAAACATTCCAGCAAGAACATTCCCAATCCTAATTTTATGTTTCGTTGATGAATTATTGTTCACAAATACTTTTAGTCATCCATCTAAAGTCTAAACCAATAATTTTATATTGCGAAAGGAGACTGTAGATGACGACATTAACATAAATTGACATTTATTACTTATCCATAGATAGCCATCTCATCCCATCATTGCCAACTTTCACTTGTTTATAATTTTTTTACATGCAATCTAACCCACTTGCCCAATTCTTGGAAACCATAAAGAACAATAATCAGAGGTAATAAGAGAATCCTGCTGTCAAATTCTGCAGAAAGATAATTGGTACCAGGGTTCAGGGTTGGAAGTTGCTACCGGTATTTGGGATATATCGAATATCGTATCGAATTTATTACTATTTGGTATTATCGAATACCGAGTGGTTTTTTATAGATTGGGATTCATTTTGGAGTGTTATTTGGTATTCAGAATTATGTAATTGGGATCGGTATAAACCGAAATACCAATATATTAAAAATTATGAAATATAGCACACAACCTTTGGTTATTCCTTACTCTTTCACAACTTAGAAGCCCCCATCCGACTCAATTTTGACTTTCCCGTTTAAGTCATTCTCGTCTCTCACCTAATCTCTTGTTATTTTCATAACACCAAAAAACAAACACTAATATTAGTCATCTCTCGACCTCTAATTCGTCAAATTAAAGATTACCAATGACTAGAGTTTGAGATGTCACCTCTCATCCATTCTCCTTATCCATTTCCTAGCTCTAGGCAAACTCAAGGCTCTTTTTTTATGGATTATAGTAAACTCAAGACTCTTTGCTTAATCTCTTTGCCCTAAATTAAACAATCAAATCTAATTTATATAGTTAATTATTAATTACAAAGGTAATTAATTTTGGATTCGATAATATCGATTGAGATCCCGAAGTACTGATTGGGATACCGAAATATTTAGGAATTGGGATTGGGATACCGAAATTATTTAGAGATTGAGATTGATATTAGGGTGTAATTAGGTATTCGAATTTTTGGTATCGTATCGATTTCTACCTTAGCTACTAGATCTATTGAAAATGATATACATAACCGTAAGGTATTCGAAAATAGAAACCATAAATGCTCTCACTCTGAGTATTGAATGTTTAAACTTCATTATCATTTCCGCCACTATTAATAGCTACTGAGTTTATCGACATTTCTTATTAATATAATTTTTTTTATAATGGTGAAGGTCTCTCACACGTTTATAAAGACTATAACCAATATAGCAACTTAGCAAACAGCGAACATTCAAAACGATGGAAATATGAGCAAATGTTTCAGAAAGTGCATATAACCCCAAATTTGCTCCACCTCCCTTTTACCCCAAGTCCCCAAACATAGTGACAGTATCTTTCAAATGTAAAAAAGTTCATAATTTTGGCACGCGTATTTAAAATTGGGAAAACAAAGCACTGAATAATAAAAGAGTTTTTTGTCTTCCTTATTTTGCCTAAAAAATCTACACTTTGTTTATGCTCCAAAGAGGAAAGAAATTTTTAAAATCCTAGAAGAAATGGGATATGTGTTAATGCTCTTGTAGTTGTATGTATGGTTGTTAAACCGGTTTATACCATTATGTTAGTTTGACAAGTGATATGGTTCGATCTGGGAAAAAGTATTTATGCTAATTTATATGGTTTTATTAAATATGTAAGGAAGTAAGAAATTATTAAAACAAAATGAATATATATATATAGTGGCTACTTCGGTGCACTCATAAAAATGATTGCGTTCAATGTACCCAATTCAAAAACTAGTCTTAAAGTGTTGGATTTTGGATTTTAATTTGTAGAATTAGTATAATATGATGATATAACATATGCTAATAACTAATTAGCGGATTACCCTAAGCCCTAGACCTCCAGTTTTGAGTTTATCCCTAAATCCCAATTTGTAAACCCTAAACCTAAATCACTAAACTCTAAATCCTTCAAATTAAAGTAAATCTTTAATGGTTTTTGTACAAATTCATGTGCGTTATTGTTCATCACATCATAAGTGATAATTGACATCATTTTGACATAAATCACATGTTTAAAATGACGGTTATGAAGTGAGTGCAATGAATGTAAAAAAAAAGTGATTGCACCAAAGACGCCACTATATATATATATATATATATATATATATATATGGTGACGTTTTCAGTGCACTCACTTTTTTGGGTGCATTCAGTGCACTCACTTCATAACCGCCATTTTAAACATGCGATTTATGTCAAAATGATGTCAATCATCACTTATGATGTCATGAACAATAACGCACATGAATTTGCACAAAAACCATTAAAGATTTACTTTAATTTGAAAGATTTAGAGTTTAGAGATTTAGAGTTAGGGTTAGGGTTTACAATTTGGGGTTTAGGGATAGAACTCAAAAGTGGAGGTCTAGGGCTTAGGGTAATCCGCTAATTAGTTGTTATCATATGTTATATCATCATATTAAACTAATTCTAAAAATTAAAATTCAAAATTTGACATCTTAATACTAGTTTTTGAGTGGGTGCATTGAACACACTCATTTTTGTGAGTGCACCGAAGTAGTCACCATATATATATATATATATATATATATATACGGGAGAAAATTAAAAAACATCATTGAAAATTAAAAATTGATCATGCTGATTATACGGGAGAAATTTCAAGGATCTTGTAACCGGTTTAATCGATTCTACCGACCAACATGCCCATCCTCATGATAATGTGTGTATTCAAGTCAAGAATCAAGCAGAAGGCAGAGGGTAATTAGTAATTACACGAAAATGGGCTAAAAGTTTAGGTACTGTCCAGCTGGCTGCTGCCATCATCATCACCTAAAGCCTATTAAACCCCCAAGAATAAGAAATAATAAAAGCCTGAATCCCCCACATCATTCCCCTCTCACTCTCGATACAACCACGCGTTGCCAAAATAAAGCGCGTTATCTTCCTTCGCCTTCACCCGCGAGTTGCGTCGACCTCTCTTTCGAAAAAAAGAAAAAAGGAAAAAAGTTGGGTCGACCTCTTTGAACTCATATTCTATCCCCAGTGACAACTGGACAGGTAAATGAGAACAGCTGTATTCCTCCACCGTGTCGGAAAGCGATTGGACGAGATCTAGGGCGCTCCTTCTGAATAGGAGACATGCCGTACCCATATTACCCCTCACCTCACCCAGCTTTGGGACAGCTAAGAGAGGACGAGAAAGGTTGCAGGGCAGTCGCCAGTGGCCGCACAGACACTGTAACGGCTACATTTCTTTTTCTTTATTTTCTTTTGCTTTTAGATAATTAAATATAAATTGAATTTATCTGACATGGCGGGTGAGGTGGTGGAATGATATGACGTGTCGGTGTCCTCCCTTACCCCGCAAGCCAACCAACAAAGGTCTTCTTCGGGGCTATAAATGGGGACTGAGGTTGAAATTGCTCATCACTATTCGGTGTACTCTCACTCTCTCTCTCTTGCTCTGCTCTACTTCTTCTTCCACAAGCCAGAGCTAGCTCCTTTTCTGGTCACAATGGCGGTCTCGGTATTCAGAATGACTCTTCTGATGGGTTTTTTCATGGGTTTTGTGATGGTGGGTCTGGTTACCTCGGCGAAATTTGACGAGCTGTTCCAGCCAAGCTGGGCGTTCGATCACCTCATCTATGAGGGAGAGCAGCTGAAGCTCAAGCTCGATAACGCTTCTGGTAACCTTTATAAAATCTGTCACATTGTCTTTTATAGTCTGCAACTTTACTGTTCTGGGTTTCATCCATTTGCGCCTGGTTATGTTGCTATCAGGATGATGCTAATGGGTTCATTATCTCCTTCTTTTGTTGTTTTTCAGGATCTGGGTTCCAGTCGAAGAGCAAGTATCTGTTTGGGAAGGTGAATATACAGATTAAGCTTGTGGAGGGAGACTCTGCTGGGACTGTTACTGCCTTCTATGTAAGTGAAACTCAACATTAAGCAAAGAAACAAAAAAAACAGAGGTCCCCTGTTTTTCCAAGAGGTGGAGGACCATTGAGAGGGAGAAAACCCCCGTGAATAATAATTTTTGTCTATCCGCGTGATGAAATAACAAGGAATTGATTTCACCTTAGCTGTATTGAGATTTATGATTTGGGCCCCCCGAGAGACGAATGATTTTGGACTTTTGTGTGCATTCATGGGAGGATATTAGCCAAAACTAGCTAGTCCAGCTTCTAGCTACCAACAACCTACTGCAATTTATTACGTAGCATTACAATGTTAAACCTAAAGTGACCTCTGATTTTATAGCATCTGTCAATTTATTGACAGCGATCGTTTTGGGTTTCAATTATTGGTCACTTTAGATGCTTTGATGGTGAAATCTTTGGTGGGTTTTGGTCTAAAGTTGTAATCTTTTTCTTCTTTGTTGCTGTTTGCAGATGTCATCAGAGGGTCCTAATCACAATGAGTTCGATTTTGAGTTTCTGGGCAACACCACCGGGGAACCCTACCTCATCCAGACTAATGTCTATGTCAATGGGGTTGGCAACAGGGAGCAAAGGTTGAACCTTTGGTTTGATCCCACCAAGGATTTCCACAACTACTCCATCTTTTGGAACCCGCGCCAGGTTATGTAAGTAACCCATCATCGCTCTTATGGGTATATGTGTGTTGCAAAGATATCGATTAACAAATGGCAGTGAGATGGGATGAATCAGTATACCAAGTGTTACATATTCTCTACAGTCATGTGACACTCTGACTGTGTCCTTCAAAGAATAAATCCAAAAACTAAGCCACTAGGAAAGAAGAAAAGGCATTACTTAAATCGGATCTTGGGATGATGTTATTATGCCAAATATGGGGTCCCGTGGGTTCTCTTTTGCAGCATTATTGGTACTTGTAATGAGCATAATGTATTATAGTGTGTATGACATCATGATGAGGGGGGCCATCTCTGTTCTTGATAACGTTGCCTTTCAACTTTGAAGTCAGAATGACTCGTGAAATGAAAAGCTTGCCTCTTTTTGTTTGATGTGACAAGTGGGTTTTGTTTAAGGAGTTGCCTTTTCAAAAGGGTGTTTGTCTGTCAGATTGAATTCCCAAATTTTGATGAAGAAAGTTTGCATCTTGTGTGACACTCTCTAATCACATACTGATGGGTGTTTTTCTCATCTTACAGATTTCTAGTAGATGACACTGTGGTGAGGCAGCACTCAAACTTGGAGCACAAGGGAATCCCTTTCCCCAAAGACCAGCCGATGGGAGTCTACAGCTCAATCTGGAACGCTGACGATTGGGCGACCCAAGGCGGTAGGATCAAAACCGATTGGAGCCATGCCCCATTCATTGCCTCCTACCAAGGTTTCCAGATTGATGCCTGCGAGAGCCCAGCTTCGTCAGTCTCAGCAGCTGATTTGACCAAGAAGTGCACGAGCAGTGGCGAGAACAAGTACTGGTGGGATGAACCGGCATTGTCTGAGCTTAACCTTCACCAGAGCCATCAGCTTCTTTGGGTCAAGGCCAACCACATGGTCTATGACTACTGCAGTGATAATTCTAGGTTCCCTGTGACACCTGAGGAATGCCAGCACCACCATCATTAGTAGTAGTAGTAACTGAATGAAATGAAGCTTGGTCATGCCACTGTAAAAAAGAACTGGGGGAAGACGCTTGTGGCGTAGAGGGGAAGGGTGAAAATGGGATCTATTGTCACATATTAAGGAAGGGTGAAACATGTGCTCCATGTTTTGATATTCCGTTGGCTTCATTTTGGGCTTTTGATCAGTTCCATGTAAGATATGTTATCTTAGGGTCTTATTATTAATATGAACTTCAGTTGTGTTCCTCTTCCCTACTTCCCCCCCCCCCCCCCCCCCCCCCCCCCCCCCCCCCCCCCCCCCCCCCCTTGAACTTGTTCAGGAGCAAGTTGCAAAACGTGCATAATGAAGTGAACAATGGGAGATGGGATGAAATGAAATTGATAAGGTCTCCATTTCCTTTCCTTCTGCTGGCATGATGATGGGCTTTCAGGACAAAAACAAAACTTGAAATGCAGAATTGAAAGGGGTCCCCCCTCTTATCCCTGCAATTGGGTGGACATTTTTGAGGACTTTACTCTCTAGAGTTCATTTCAGTGCCACTGTGCAGGCCAGCTCTCATTGTCCTTTACAAATGGCTGGAAGGAAAACCACGGATGAATTACCTTTTCTTGTGGGTTTCAGTATTAGTGGTGGTGAAAAGGCCAATCATAAGTGGTTCACTGATTCGCTGAAGTACAATAATAGAGAGGGGGCATTTCTTTTCTTCTGTTTGAGATTCTTTTGGCCATTTGGAGCTTTGTGGGTTCAAGGTTCTTCTAAAGGTGTGCTTCACTTCTTGTGGGGGAGAATCAAATGGTCCTATCCTATACATCTCAAACCTTCATTGTCCCACCACAACCATAGCAGGCACAAGGAAAGGAAGCAACTCTAATTGGAGGGCTTCTGTCCAAAACCAATGAGCTCCTTCAAAACTTTTTCACCACCAAGAGAAATGTGCAAGTAGCACCAGATTGGTACAAATGGGCCAGCTTTGCTGACTCAGGATTGATCAAAGCTGCAATTGGAACCAAAGCATTTACTTTTGAAATCATTCATTGAGTTGGGGATGGAATGGATGGACCCAAGTAATTTAATTTGGGACTTGACTACACAACAAACAGCAATAAAACTCCTAGGCCATTGGCTCTACAAATTCATGTAACAAGCAATCTTAAATATCCCCTTCTTCTGCTGCACGGTGGAGAGTGTGTGTGGCCTGGCCTACTGCTTTTAAAAGACAACTTGTCTGCTTTCCTCTGATTCTGATCCATGTCGATAATTCAAAGGGGAGGTGTGTGGGCACAGATCCCAAAGCCAATATGGAATGGGGAAGGAAAGTGGCCCAAAATTTTGTTGGGTGGGGTTGGTCTGGTGATCATGGGTATCTACTTACTTCTTCACGGGCCATAAGTCCATAACCCCATTCATAAATCATGGGTTGGCATTTGCCCAAAAACAAAGGGAAGATAAAAAATGACCAATCAAACCATAAAAGTATAGGAAAAATCCAAAAGTACCACTGTTTAATAAGAATTTCAAAAATACCATCCAACCACAAAAAATTATAAAAATACCACTCTTTTTACAAACCGCCACCCCACCCTGCGGTTTACACGAAAATTGCTGGGTGGGGGCACGGTTTTCTACGCAAACCACTGGGCTAAGGGGAAGTTATAAAAACCGCTGGGTGGGGCGGCGGTTTTGGGCCAAACCGCCACCCCACCCAGCGGTTTGGTCCATTTTTTTTTTCCGATCAACTCCTAACTTCGGCCGAAATTTCAAACGAACGTAACTTTGCACTCAGGTATCCGATCGTAGCGATTTTTTTTTGAATCCGAATAACTTTTCGAGACTTGCAAGCGGCAAAATGCCGTAGGCGGTTTGGTTCAGCCTTCGTCTTGAAAAACGTCATTTGCTACCCCGAACGAGCCTTTTTTTTATTTCGTCAAACTTTGGGCGGCCTTAACTTTGTGCTCCAAAATCCGAACGTCATGAATATGTTTTTTATTCCGCATAACTTATCAAGATCTACAACTTTTAAGATAATCATAATTTCGAAATGTACTTGGATTTGTAAAAAGTAAAGGTTAAGTTATTCCCAAGGTCCCGTATATCCACAACTAATTCCTGTTTAGAAAATTTCATCCTAGTAAAAGTTTTAGATCTTGAAAAGCTATTCGGATTCAAAAAAAAATCGCTACAATCGGATACCCGAGTGCAAAGTTACGTTCGTTTGAAGTTTCGGTCGAAGTTAGAAGTTGATCGGAAAAAAAAAATTGGACCAAACCGCTGGGTAGGGTGGCGGTTTGTGCCAAAATCGCCGCCCCACCCACCGGTTTTTATAGGTTTTTATAACCGCCCCTTAGCCCAACGGTTTGCATAGAAATCCGCACCCCAACCCAACGGTTTTCGTGTCAACTGCAGGGTTGGGTGGCGATTTTTGAAAAAGGGTGGTATTTTTGGAATTTTTGGGGTTGGGTGGTATTTTTGAAATTATTTTTTTAAACAGTGGTATTTCTGGAAAAAATCCTAGAAGCAGCGGGTTCAAAATTCCATTCTCTCAAGTCTCAGAGGTACCTTACTTGAGAAGCACGCGCAGTTGCAAACCTCATGGAGAATAACGTAATTGTGAGTGCCAGTGTATGAAACTTATGCTGGTGAAGCTTGTAAGGATTCATCAATTGTGTTGTACTTGAATGTTCAAATGTTAGTATTTATCATAAAAACAAAATCAAACGTTCACATTACGTTGTTACTTTGGATACATAACATTTTCAATCATCGATAGATTTTCCAATTTCCTCAAAGCATGGAAAATTCTGACCTAAATGCCAACCCTCAGATGAAAATTGTCACGTTATTTTTGGACAAACCAATTATGAATTTATAAGTGAATAGTGGACATGCGAAAATTAGACCCAAGTCCAACATATAGATGACCCAATATCATATATCATTCCCTCCAATAGCTTAGGAAAATTCATGGGGACCAAATTTAAATGTATAGCTTATCACTTGTATATAAAAGCAATATTATTTGGTCAAATTTGATATCCTTTACGTTAGAAACAAAAGGTGGCAATTCTCAATCTAATTCACCAACCCATTAAAAATATTCACCTAATCCAATCCATTTAAATCCAATCCATTTGATCCAAATCCAATTGAATTGGTGAATTCATGGATTGATCCATGTATCCAAATGACAAATTACGGTTTAGCACCTATTTTATATTTTACATTTTGGTACCCAAAATTTATTTTTTGTACGAAAAATAATATTGGAAAATTACGTTTTGGTACCTAAAAATTTTCATTATGACATTTTACTACCTAAACTTTTCACATTTTACATATTGGGTCCTTGGTTGAGGATGTCATTTGGATTCATGGATAATCCACCAATCCACTTGATCCAATCCATGAATCCACCAATCCATTGGATCCAATCCATTTGATCCATGGATCCACCAATCCAATCCACCAATTCATCGATCAATCCATTTGCCACCTCTATTAAAAACTGATTAGCTGCATAATGCAAAAAACCTGAAACATATATCGTGTTAACGATTCAACAATGCAAGAGTATTTACATGATTTTCAATAATTCTACTCAACTCAAAATTGAGATTACTTGTCTTTAAATATATTAAAGGAGTTTCATAAAATAACCCCCTCCACGTCAGCCATGGAGCTCCCTCCGCAACTTTCGGTTATTCGTGTTTTTCTTATTTTTTCTTATTTTTTTATGCCAGGTAGTTACCATCTTTTGTGGAATTTTTTCTTACCGTATAGTTTTTTTTTGTTATTTAGTTTTTTTTTATGAATCAGTGAATTCTTTATTCATCAAAAAGAGGTGTTAGCAATAGCCTTGCTAACTAGGCTTCTCCAACCAAAATGGTAGGTACAAGCTGACTATACTACTACTAAAGACAAAGCCTCTGAGACAAATTAGTTAACCTAGAGTACGGTAACCCTTTGCCTACCTATAACACACTCAACGAGCCTGAATGATCTTCAACAGAGTATAAATTTCTTTGGCCTCACCTGCATACAAACGTCTAAATCTCTCTCTCCAAACATGGCTCACCCAAGCCTGCCAGATAAGGCGCCCTGATTCAGCAGCTTCTGTCGAGACACCAAGTTTAGCAATCATTAAGGACAACAAATCCTCCCAACTTTGCATCGTAGGGAGCTGAATGAATCTACATAAAAGAGAAGCTAGCAGCTGTTTCGAGAATGAACAATGAACAAATATATGCTCTCTATCCTCAATCCCTGAGTTACACAGACAACAAGACAGGTCACCCGAGTAATCCCACTTCAACATCTTTCTCTTCGTGTTTATATTTCCCCTAACCACTAGCAAAGTGACCACTCAATTCTTGGGGGATAACAATACCTTTCCATATAATCTTCCACCAAGAGACATTCAGTTGACAAGGGCGAATAAGCTTCCAAACTTTCTTAATTGAGTACCGAGGCATAGGAGAATCATCTAGCAAAAGAACACCATTTCGAACAGATATCAACGTTGCCATCCTACTCCTTAGCTTCAGGATCTTGTTCCAGTTCCAGGATCCAGATGAACATGTATAGGACCAGAGATCTTAGGCCCTTTAGTTTATAACGATAAATCCAAGCCACCCAAAGTGATCCTTCCTACAACAAGATTAACTAGAGGTGTCTAACCATGCAAGCCCGATTCTAGCTATGCATATCTCTAAAACCAAGCCCCCTCCTTCTTAGGGAAAGCCAGCTTCTGGCAAACCACATTAGCCCTAAGCTTCACCCCATTCCCAACTCCCCAGATAAATTTACTACATATCTGCTCAAATTACATGATGATAGCCTTTGGGAGCGGAAACCTAGACATCCAAAATTGAGTGAGACTGTAAAGAACAGTACCAACAAGCTCAATTCTTCCTGCATATGAGAGAGCTTTTGCTTGCCAACTCTTAACTCGAGCTACTAGTTTATCAATAAGAAGTCTGCAGGCAGTTATACTTAGTTTTCCAGAAATTAATGGGACTCCTAAGTAGCGAACAGGGAAGCCTCCAAGTTGATAACCATACCTATCAACTCTCACCTTCCTCTCTTCCTTTTCCAAACACCCAAAGAAGATCTCACACTTACTAGGATTGGATTTTAGGCCTGAAATCCTCTTGAGCTGATCCAAGATTCTTTGCAATTCCTGAATCCCGAAATTTGAAGCATTCGAGAAGACCAACAGGTCATCATCAAAGCACAGGTGAGTTAACTTGACCCCTTTACACATTGGATGGTAAGGAAAGAACCCTTCAGAAGCTGATTTATCGATTAAGCAAGTAAAGACCTCCATGGCAATAGAAAACAGATAAGGGGACAAAAGATCCCCTTGTCTGAATCCTTTTTTAGATGGAAAATATCCCACAATTAAAACTAACACTTATCATAGGAGTCTCCACACACATTTTAATCCAACTCACAAATCGCTCAGGAAACCACAAATCCTTAAGAACTTGGAAAATAAAATTCCAGTCGACTAAGTCGAACGCCTTCATAAGATCAATTTTTAAAGCACAACGAGGGGAGATATTCATATGAGAGTATTTACTAACCAGCTCATGAGCTAACACGATGTTTTCCCCTATAAGTCTGCCTTTCACAAAGGCTGTTTGGTTCTTACTAATAAGAGAGGGGAGAAGTGGACTTAATCTATTAGCAATTAACTTTGAAATGCTCTTATAAAGAATGTTGCAACAGGAAATAGGTCTAAAGTTTTTCATTTTGTCAGTATTTGGTAGTTTGGGGATTAGGGAAAGAATTGTGGCATTAAATGGCCTAGGGACTCGATCTTGTTCAAATCAGAAACGAATGATAGAAGCTACCTCAAGGCCAATTAGAGGCCAAGCATAGTGAAAAAATGTTGCAGAGAAGCCATCAGGCCCAGAACTTTTATCACCATCCATGCTAAATATAACATCTTTAATCTGCTCATCAGTGAATGAATCACAAAGCCCCATAGTCTGCTCTTCAGTAAGTTTCCTTTTCAGTAGATCAACAAAGAAATTATATAACTGAGCCTGAACTTCAGTGTCAACCACTACCAGCAGGTATCTGTAAAATTGAACAGCAGTCAGAGCCATTTCTTCAACATCTTGAATCTTCTCACCTTGCTCGTTTTTAAGTACCCAGATAGTACTTCTCTTTTGTTATAGACGGACATATCGATGGAAATATGAAGAATTCATGTTCCCTATTTTAAGCCAGTTCTCTCTAGACTTCTGTCTCAAAAAGCTTTCCTAAGCATCCATTAAAATCTTAAGTTCATGACTTAACCTCTTTTCATCTTCAAAATTACCCACAGAAGGGTCAGTGAGGGCCTGCTGCTGCATCAAATGAAGCTCAGCCTCCTTTGCCTTTACTCTCTCACTAATGTTAGAATACTCTTCTTTATTGAGATTACTTAATAAGTTCTGAGATTCTTAAGCTTTTTTCAAACTCTTATCAGAGGGTGTCCAGAAACTCTAATCCCCCAAGCATCTTCCAAAAGCTCATCA